TTTAGTTCCCTCAACCACCCACCTACCTCTATTCATTGTGCAGGCCCAAGACAGTTTCTTTATTAACCAACGGTATTCACAGCATACAGAGGGGACTCCCACATCACCTCCCCTTTTCTCTTTAAATAAAAAAGGTTTTAACTTTAACATATCTACTTTATCTTTTATCATAACTAAGGAAAACTATAAGTATAAATTCTTCAACTCCATCAAAGACTCCAGAAGGATATAGTATTACCTAAGTAAACAGGAAGTACACTGTAAGCAACTTCCAAAACTCTAGAATTGACAGAGACATCTCACTGCCTGGAGAGGATGAATATGAAATCAATATGAAAATGGTTATCTACCCCAAAAGCAATCTATAGATTCAATGTAATGGGGAGGGTGAATTCCAGCAACATTTTTCCCAGAAATAAAAAACCAATCTTAGAATTCATATGGAAGTACAAATGACCCTATATAGTTGAGTAAAAAAAATACTGTTGTAAGTATTTCCATAACTGATTTCAAGTTATAAGGTACACCTATAGTAATAAAAAAATGCATGGTATTGCCACAGAAAGAGACACTTGTATCAGTGGAATAGAAAACCCATGCAACTAGCCGGGAGATGGTGGCGCACGCCTTTAATCCCAGCACTCGGGAGGCAGAGGCAGGTGGATCTCTGTGAGTTCGAGGCCAGTCTAGTCTACCAGAGCTAGTTGCAGGACAGGCTCCAAGGCAACAGAGAAACCCTGTATTTAAAAAAAAAAAAAAAAAAAAAAAAAAAAAAGGAAAAAAAGAAAAAGAAAACAAATGCAACTATGATCATCTGAATTTTAGCAAATATGCCAAAAACACACACTGGAGAAAAGACAGCATCTTCAACAAATGGTAGCAGGGAAACTGATTATCACATGTAGAAGAATGAAATGAATCCTTATTTCCTACACTGCACAAAAGTCAACTCCAAACAGAACAAGGACCTCAACATAAGACCTGATATTCTGAAACTACTAGAAAAAAAGTAGGGACTACATTTCAAGATATAGCTATGGTTGTGCATGAAATGGTCCTCACAGGCTCATAAAGAGTGGCACTATTGGGAGGTGTGGCTTTGTTGGAATAGGTGTGGCCATGATGAAGGAACTATGTCACCGGGCATGAGCTTTGAGGGTTCAAATGCTCAAGTAAGTCCCACTGGTACTCCCACTTCTGCTGCCTATCTATGAGGATGCAGAGCCTATGAGAATGTAGAACTCTCAACTATCTCTCCAGTACCATGTACCATGTCTACCTGAATCCTGCCATGCTCCCAGGAAGACAATAATTAACTAACTCTCTGAACTGTAAGCCAGCCCCATTTAAATGTTTTCTTTTATGAGAAGTGCTGTAGCCATAGTGTCTCTTCACAGCAATAAAACCTTCACTAAGACACAAGCATAGTGGAGACTTTCCAAATAGAATTTCTATCATTTGGGAGATAAGACCAATCAACAAATTGCAATCTCACGAAATTCAAAAGGTTTTGTATAGCAAAGGAAATCATCAATTGAATGAAGAGGCAGCCTACAAAAGGGGAGAAAATCTTTACTAGTTATATACCCAAAGTGCTGTTTAGAATATACAAAGAACTCAAGAAAACAAATAACCCAATCAAAAGTAAAAACTGGGGGGTATGGAACTGAACAAAGCATTGTCAGAAGAAAAAACACAAACAGCTAATAAGCATTTTTTAAAGTGTTCAACATTATTAGCTATAAGGGAACCTATATTGAGATTCCATCTCATCCCAGCCAAAATGACTGCCATCAAAAATACATGGGAAAGGATACCAGGAAAGATAAACACTTTCCTATTGATGGTAGAAATGGAAAGGAGCAAGGACACCACGGAAGTGTCTTGGATAGTTTTATGTCAACTTGACAAATGCTAGAGTTATCTAAGAGGAGGGAGTCTCAACTGGAAAAAGTTTCTCCATAAGATTGGGCTGCAGACAAACTTGCAGAACATTTTCTTAATTAATTAGTGACTGATGTGAAAGGGGCCAGGCCACAGTGGGTGGGTACCACTCTGGGCTGATGGTCCTATGTTGTATAAACAAGCAGGCTGAGTGAGCCAAGAGGAGCAAGGCAATAAGCAGCACTCTTCCACGGCCTGCAGCAGGCTCCTACCCCCAGAAGCTGGTTTCCGTTCCTGCCTGGCTTCCCTCAATGCACTATGATTCAGGATATGTGCATCAAAAACCCTTTAATATCACATTGCTTTGGTCATGAATTCATCACAGCAGCAGAAAAGTAACTAACACAGGAAGTCAGTATATAGGTTTCTTAGAATGCTAAAATAACAGAACTACCACATGACCTAGCCATATCACTCCTGAGCTTATATTCAAAGCACTCAATAACTTATTATAGAGATACTATGACATCCATGTTCATTGTTGCTCTGTTGACTATAACGAGGAGATGGAATCATTCTGAATGTCCACCAACTGATGAGCAGAAAATGAAAAGGTATGCATATACACAATGAATTTTCATTCAGGTGTACAGGGAAAAATGAAATCATGACATTTGTAAGAAAATGGACGGAACTGGAAAATATTATATGGAATGGGGTAACCCAGACAGTTTGTTGGGGGGACAATACTGGGGACAAACGCTTAAGCAGAGATGGGAACAGAGAATGGCGGTAAAGCAGGGGGCTACAACAGTCTAAGACTAAGGATGTATGAAAAGGCCTCAAGGAAACCCTCTACTTTGTAAGGTAACTGAAAAACATAATGGAAAAGGAGTTTAAATGGAGGTACCCTGCATGGGTGAAGAGTGCTTCCCCCAAAGACAAGGGTTGTTAAATGAAAATCTCAGCGCTGGATGTGAGATTCCTCCCCGAGGTGAGGGAGACCCTAGAGGCACCCAGTAATATAGCCCTCCTCCATTGCTCTTGGTTGTCCACTATAACTAGACGGTAAGAACCTACTGATGAACACGTGGTTCAATCTGCTAACAGTACACAGAGAAAACAAGCTGAACTGACGTGGCAACTACTTCCTGCTGGCTAGTTTTCACAGAGCTGAAGGGCACTTGCACCAGGACAGAAAAGGTAGGGGTGTACCCCAAATGCTGCAATACTGACTGACTTTCCAGACACAAACGAAATGCATCCCACAACTAGTGAAATTCTTTAAACTCGTTTTAGAAACAACAGAATTAAGACAAACATGAAGTATAAACACTAAGGAAAGGTAACAATCGTTTAAACAGGGTATATCAGATTTCAATCTTAAATTGCCACATAAAAATCTCAAAGAAGATCCTTACAGATCTTAAACAACAGCAGGACTACATTGTAACGCCAATTAGGACTCTTAATTTGAAGGCTAATTATAAGTCCGTGGCTTTAGGAAAATCCAGACACTGTTTCCACATAATTATGAGACCCAATTAATATGTTCTAATTTCTGCAACCTCTTTTGAAGGTATTTTCTTGTGCATTCATTATGAGATTTCTTGGTACCAATCTCCATTGGTGACATCACTAAAATCAATAGCCACCAGCTTCCAGTTATACTATGACCCAGGAGCACATCCGAGATTTTTCCCAAATCTTGGAAAAAAATGCCTTTCAGACAGTCGGTTCTATGCCTCAAAGTATCTAAGGGAACTAGATATTACAACTCAAAATTAGAATTAGCCAGGACCTTGCAAATCAGTCAACCCTTCCTTTCGCAGAGGGAGAAAATGTGGCACTGGCGGAGGAGCAGCAGCCTGGGTCCAACAGCTGGTGAACTCTGTCTCCTCTGGTCCTGCCCAGTGGTCCTCCTCACCAGAGTCCACATGCGTGTGGTTCGCTCACACACAGCAAGTGAGGAAACGGACACCTCCATACCGCCAAAGCTAGAAATGTTCCTAGCTGTAGAGAAAAGGTCTGCATCTCTTCCAGCTGGTGGGGAAACTGGGCAGGTACGTGACACAGTTCTATATAACATGGACTTCAGTCTCTTAGCAACCTCCTGAGTAAGGGAGATAAAGACTGATGATGATACCCTTTAAGTAGAACTAGATCAAAAATAAAAGCCCAAATCCCAGGTTCAGCACGCACCCGCGCCTCCCAGGCAGAAGCAGATAGCTGTCATCGCTGGAGTCACGACATTCCAGGACCGGGCACCTGACTCCGCCCCCTACCCCGACTGCTCAGCCCTCCGGAGGAGAGAAACACGAAGGTCGAGACACAGCACGCTAGAAAGAGATACCTGATAGCAAATGCCGCCTGCCGCCGCCTGCAGCCGCCGTACTTCAGCCTACTTCCGGGGTCAAGTCGCCGTCCGGCTGCCCTAAATCCCGGGTCCGCAGCCTCAGCCCCGCCCCTCCAAGTCCCGCCTCCACCGCCCACTCTTTCCAGCCCCAGCAACTTCCGGAACGCCGTGCGTCACTAGGCAGTGGACTCGTACTTCCGGACGTATGGCGCCCGCCACCTCCAGCCCCAGCAATGTAACTTGATGCTTCTGTGAATTTGATTGGTGGAGCCGGAGCGCAGGTCTCCTCTGATTGGTGAGTGGGAAATCTACGTAAGTTGGCGCGGCGGCCGGCTCGGAGTCAGACCTACTGCGGTCTCACTGGCTCCGAGTGTTGGCGGTACGATCATGGTGGACGTAATGGAGCTCCCCAGAGCGCGCGTCAACGCCAGCATGCTCACGCAGTTCATCGACAGACCCGTGTGTTTTGTGGGCAAGCTGGAAAAGGTGCGCGGGCTCGAGCAAGAGAGCGGGGCACCGTGGCCACTCGGGAGTGGCTGCGGGGTGGGGAGCGGAGGGGGAAAGCAGGTAGCTAGCCATCAGCAGCATGGCACTTGCACTTCATCTTGCTTTATTTTTCACAAGCAAGAGTTGCCACTGCAGCTCCGTCAGGGTGCCGCTTCTTCTGTGTCGCAAAAAGAGTGTTTTCGAAAGAGCTAACTTTGAGTTCGAGCGCCCTCCCCCCCCCCTCCGCTCTGGATTTAGTTGAAAGATTACCAACCTGGCTCCACTGCGTACTGTCTTGAGTTTTGGGTTTAGCCATACTACTTGACTGATGAATCTGTTTCCTGGTCTTTTGCAACCTTCTCTGTTTATGGGCCTGTTTTCCATGTTGCAGTCTCTTCTCTGAAACATGGGTAGCTCCTCCCACATCCTATTGATGTCCAGTATCTAGCCCTCCTCCCATCAGTAAGAAACAAGCCCAAAGTCTCGGAAGCAGTGACTGAAAAAGCCTAGGAAAAGATAATCATTTGTAAGGACTTAGTTACTAGTTCATTTCATTCACACATTCCTACGTGAAAGGAATGTTATTCTAACTTCACAGGTAGGCTGACTGAGCCAGTGTTAGTAATTAACTAAAATGCTCAGGGTTCACAAGTGGCAGAGCTCAGTTCAGATCCCAAGAGTAGTCCTCAGATCTGGCAACCAGTTCTTTAGTTCTTCATTCCTAATTCTAAAAGCATACCTTCGGTGAGATGTGCTATCTAATGTCAGTAGAATTCCACTAAGCAAGTATTCGTTGTTTACTAGAAATTCAAAATTAACTGGGCTTTCTTCCAATAATCAGATCTGGTAACAAGATTATAACTTGAACCAAATAACTGTCTGAAAACCAATTACTTTATGTTCAAATACAATGTCAATAATTTTTTTTAACAATTTGGTTTCTGTAAATTCTATTTTCTAAATCTATGTGGGTTTTGTTTTCCTTTTTAGATTCATCCCTCAGGAAAAATGTTCATTCTTTCAGATGGAGAAGGAAAAAATGGAACCATTGAATTGATGGAGCCAGTATGTTTTAAGTGATATTTAATTTCCGTTTGGTTTTTTATTTTCTGATTTGGGGATGGGTGTGTGACGCTGGCACCTGTTAAACCTCTTAGCTTTAAAATCAAACCCATACTGTCATACTTTCCTTCCATCTCTAACCTATACTGATTCTCAGAGCTCCAAGTTTCTGAGTATGTCCCTTAAGTATTGATTGTATATCAATTTTTTATCACTTAAAAAATACTAAAAAAGTACTTACAAAGAAAAATCTTTTCAAACTACTTCTTTCATTTCCCAAGCCTGACCTTGAAGTGGTGCCCCCGCTCCTGCTTCAGCCTCCCAAGTGGCATTGCCAGTCACCTTTATTTTCTATTTTTAATTTTTAAATTCCATAAATATATATGTATCTAGACATGTATATTTTGTTTTTGTTTTTTGAGACAGGGTTTCTCTGTAGCTTCGAAACCTGTTCTAGATCTAGCTCTGTAGACCAGGCTAGCCTCCAATTTCTCCTTTCTCTACCTCCCGAGTGCTGGAATGAAGGGCGTGTGGAACCACCACCGACTATATGTTTTTAATTTTTTTAGTCTATGTTTTATGTGCTTTAAAACATCTTCATAGTCTTTTATAGAGACAAATCCATATACTGTTTGTTTGCTCTATCTAGAAGACACGTTGTAAGATTTATACACAGTCCTTCTCTGTGACTTTTCAAACAAATCCCTGTTTATGGGAGCTCTGAAGTCCTCTGTCTCTTTAAATTACTTTCCCTTCAAGTTAAATGTATCTTTGGACCATAAGTCACTTCTAAAGGAAACAGGACTTATACAACCCTGCCAGTTATATATGCCAACATTTTTCCACAAGCAATGTTTCTGTTTATATGTTGATAAAATTTGAAGCTTCTTTTTTACAATGAAAAATTAGTAAGCTGTGAAACCGTTTGAAAACAAGAAACTATGTAACAGCTTTCCAAGCTCATTCTTAGTTGGAAAGGTCAATACACCTGACATTTCCGTCAACATTTTAGCTCGATGAAGAAATCTCTGGAGTTGTGGAAGTAGTTGGAAAAGTCACAGCCAAGGCAACTATAATGTGTGCATCTTACATCCAGTTTAAGGAAGATTGTGTTCGCTTTGGTAAGTAAAATATATACTACTCAGTAGTCTCATGTAAATAGCAGAAAAACTTTTATTTATATGTGTTGGTCTTAAATCTCAATCCTGGAATATTTTCAATTTCTATCAAATGAAAAGAGACCTTTTAAACTAGTGATTTCTTACATGTGAAAGAAACTTAGTAAATACTATTTATAGAATAAAAATGGCTTAAGATATGATGAAATTAATATTCTAATGTGTGAACTGAAAGCTCGAAGAGTGCAGTAACACTGAAATTATGACCCCACAGAAAATGACAGTGTAATAGACAACAAAATAGTTTATCATCTCTCCTTTCTTTGGGGGCACCAGAGTTAACTAAACATTAAGTGTTTGCTTAAATTTTTTTACAGATCTTGAACTTTACAATGAAGCTGTGAAAATTATCAATGAGGTTCCTCAGTTTTTTCCTTTAGGCCCTATAAAACATGAATGAACTTCTTGAATTTTTTATGATATCCAGTGAGCTACATTGAAAGCTATTAAAGAAGATTCCTTCAGTTTGAGAGAGACTCGTCTAATTTCTAATATTTAATTTGCTCTTTTGTATGGATTTTGTTGTAAATCTATTATGTGACAGTTTACAACTAAGTCTTTTTATAAAATTTTTAAAATTGCTATTTCTGGATTCAAAAATAAAGCATTTGTCTTGAGTGTAGATTTATGCTGTATAATAAAAATCAAAATAGCATGCTTTTGGTCAATTGTTTTATTTTTTCAGTTTCAAACTTGGAGTTTTGTAGCTGTAAGTCGATATTTAGACCTACCACATGAAAGTCTGGGCCAACTGTGCTGGATTTGCTTACCATCTACCATGCTGATCATGCCTTGGTAGGTTATTTAGAAAGTACTTTTGTTGAATGAAAAGAGGAGGTGTCTATCTAATCTGTGAAGTGTTTCTTCATTCTGGACATAGACTAGTGACAGAGGTGATCTTTGATCATGAGTTAGTAGAGTCATTTAACTTTCTCTTTGTGCCTTTAAACTGGCATTGTTCTTAGTATGGAATTCTATCTACCATTTTTTTTTTATGTCCGGAATATGGACTGCCTCTCACAGATTAAGCTATTTTGAGAAATCCTGGAGACATTAAATATGGCCTAGTTAAAGGAAGTACATCATTAAAAGGTTGTCCTTCAAGGTATACCTGGTCCCTGTCCCCTTTCTCACTGTACTGTTTCTTGGCCACCATGGTATGATTTTCTTCTTTTCTCCCCTTCCCTGTCATCCATGAGGTACTAAACCATAAGGAAGCCCTAATAAGCCTTCCCTTTAAATTGGGTATTTTGTCACAGCAACAAGAACAGTTATTTACACACACACACACACACACACACACACACA